TCCAGCAGCAGCAGCAATTAATTCCATTTGCAGTTTCCCCAACATTCCCAGAAATAGCCCCATTGAACCCCCCAAAAAATCCGATGCTAGCTGCCTATGCCCTGTCCTTAGAGGTGTGAGTTTCAGCTTCTATAAGCCATTGCTCCAAGCTTCTAAGTTTTACCAATTAAACCTCTTTCCTTTGTTTCATCAGCAAAAATAGTGGTGGTAAATGCTCTCTGCATGACGTTAGGTGTTCCCCTTTTGTCTCTTCAGTCCTCTAATTCCTAACAGTTCTTTGTGTCAGTTTTGTTTCCATTAAGGTTACTGGTGTGGTTTCTGTTTCCTGACTACTAGATCCTAACTAACATGCTGGAAATTTTTTTCTACTTTGTTTTGCTGTTAAAATCAAATAAATATCCTGTACACACCTTTTTCCAGTTGGTAAGCAAGTGTATCAATAAAACTACTGGGCCGAATGATGCGTGCTTTTAAAATTTTGATAATTACTGACAAGTTGTCTTCCAAAGAGGTTGTACTAATTTCTAGTCCTACTATAAGTATATACAAACTTTTTTCACAAAATTTATACTAATATCATGTATTGTAAAACAAATGTTATGCCAGTAAACTAGTTGAAAACAGTTTTGGTGACTCTTAAAGTTTGCTTTTCTTGGAGTGAGATTTAGAATCTTTTCATGTTTGTGACCATTTGTATTTATAGCCCTTGTCCATTCACTGAGGTTTATTTTTTCTTTTATTTGAAAGAGCTCTTTGTTTATGAAAGAAATTAGCCCTTTGGCATGAACTTTACATTTTTCTCAGTTTGCATTTTTCTTTTGTCTTTGTGATTTTTGTGTCCTACAAAGGTTTTCGAATGGTTGTGTAGTTTTTGTCCTTTGTCACCAGTTCTTGCTTAGAATGTTATTCTCCATACCAAGAATTAAACATAATTCCTCCATGCTTTCTTTTAGTATCGTTTTAGTTTTCAATATTAAGCTTGTTAAATAGTCAGTGCACCTGAAATTTATTTTGAATACATTTACTTTAGAATAGTGATGTAAGATTACAACTTAATATTTTTCCAAGTGACCAACCAACTGTTCTAATGCCATTTGTTAAGTAATTCTCATCTTCCTACTAATTTAAAATGCCATTTTTTTGTGATTTTTTGACTATGTAAATGTGTATCCTAAATTTTTGTATGTATTCTAAATCTATTTCTGGAATATATCAATTACTTTTTACACTTATCCCTTGTTTTCTATGCATTCGTGTTGAACTGTTGTAATTTTTGAAGCATTGTATTTCAATGTCTGGTGAGAGTCACCTTTACTGATTACTCTTTTTAAAAAGACATCTGCTGGCTATTCTCTCATTTTTATTTTTCCATGTGAAATTTTGAATTATTTGGGCTTTTTCAACAAATAAATATTTTGATGTTTTAATTGGAAAAGTGTGCTAAATTTAAAATTAATTTGTGAAGAATTGACATCTTTATGACATGGAATCTTCCTACTCAGGAACTGGTCTCTTTTTTCAGACTTTCTACTTCCAAGTTACACAAGTGTCCTTTTATGACACTCAGTAAAATACATTCCTGAGCATTTTGTCTTTTTTCCTTGCTATTATGAATACCTTTTTTTCCTCATATTTTCTAATGATAAAAGTCATCATATGAGAAATATATGGAATTTTAAAAAATAAAGTTAAAAATTTTGAAACCATCGTATTACAGAATGTAAAATGTAAAGACTTTTTTTTCAAAAGAATTTTGAAATTTTTTTGACACTCCATCATTCTTAAATATTTTAGTATGTGTTTCTTAAAAACAAGGACATTCCCTTAACGACGTAATCACAATACATTCATCAAAATCAGGAACTTAACAGAGATAAATTACTGTCATCTAATCCTGAGACCCCGTTCAAACTTAGCCACTTGTTCTGATAATGTTAAGTAAAAGGATTCAATTTAAAATCTCATGTTGTATTTCACTGTCTTGTCTCTTTGGTCTCCTTTAGTCTGGAACAGTTTCTAAGTCTTCGTGCCTTTCATGACCTTGATGCTGGGAGATTACAAACCAGTTATTTAGTGAAATATGCTTCAGTTGGTTTGTCTGATGTTTCTTTACGATTAGATGTAAGCTAGAGATCTTTGGCAGAAATGTCATAGAAGTGATTCTGTGTTCTTCTTCCATCTTATCAAGTGGCACATAATTTCACTTTAATCATTTGATTAAGGTGGTGCACTGGAGAGCTTCTCTGCTGCAAATTTGCTCTTATAGTTCTCAAGGGGAACTTTTGTATTTAATAAGTATTTTGTAAAAAAGTATTTTGAAGGTATGTAAATATTCCATTTCTCATTAAATATGTAGTCAATCCATCAATATAAATTTATAATTTCCTACTTTATTCAAAGAGTTTTAATGACTTACTATCATTATATATTTTCATGCCCCAATTGTTTAATTGTTCACAGTCTGGCCACTGGGAGCAGCTTCAAGATGGTTTAAGCATTTCCTTGCTTTCTGGAGCAATAAGATTTTTCAGGCTTATCTTGCACTTTTCCCGATCTGAACCCTGGGACCAGCCATTTTCCCAAAGAGCCCTAGTTCATTTTAAGGAATTGTATTTTAAAATCAAGATCTGGGCGCAGTGTGTGTTCATTGATGTTAGAGTGTCAGAGCTGTCAGTGGACAGATCTACGGAATAACATTTTACATTTATGTTTGTTAGATCAGTTTATATCTACTGAAAACCTCATGTTTACAACAGTTTGTCCGAGTCCAGTGCAACTACAGGGCTCATTTTGGACTTCTCTCTTTCTTTATTGTAACTCTCTTTTTTTTCAAGTGAGAAATCTTGCTCCTACCTGCTGTAATACCTTTGATCGGTTCCCCTGTATGTAGCCGATCTCTCATGCTACTGGCCCTTTAATCCCACTACGGGTCCCTCGCTGGGCACTGGCATGTCCCCTCCTCCTCCTCCCTCACACCATTGCTCCCCTCACCCGTCTTGGGCTCTGATTCTCTGCACGGGCCCGCCCCGCACAGGGATGCCCACCACACCTGGGGCTTGTCCATTGCCACACCCCATGTGGATGTCTGCTTCCTCCCCAGTCCGGGTGCTTTTAGGACTCATTTATTCAGAGAAAGGGACAAGCAATTGAATAGTAAGTTACTTTCATAATCAACCACTTCAGTCAATACCCTAATGGATTTCCAGTCTATGAAATTCTGTTTTCTACTTACGTAATTATAATATTATCTTTTATTCTCTCTTTTCCCTCATTTTTATAAAGTGTGTATTTCTTTTTTTATTATTATTTTTTTGAGTAGGGGAGGTCAATAGGTTTCTTTCTTTCTTTCTTTCTTTCTTTCTTTCTTTCTTTCTTTCTTTCTTTCTTTCTTTCTTTCTTTCTATGGAGGAACCGGGGATCAAACCCAGGACCTCACGCATGCTCAGCAGGCTCTCTACCACTGAGCTACACCCTCCCCACATAACTTATGTATTTCTTTTACAAATTGTGTTGTTAGTTACTTCCAGAAGTGTGTAACCCTAGGGGTATTTGTATCATGTTCCTGAATTTATGCCATTGCTTCTAGGGTTTTAACGTTATACCTGAGGTCTTTTGGTTTGGTATAGTCATCAAGTTAAGAAAATAAGCTTTTTTTCTACTTAAATTATTTAAAACAATATTGAATACCTTTTGTATAATATTTGTCCTCTATCTTCCCGCCACAATAATCTGACTCAAAAAGATGTGAATATGTGTGGGGTCCTTGTTCAGCTTTACATTACAGGTATATGATGGGTTTGGGGCTCCTCTTAATCTGTCCTAGTTTCAAGAACACCCCTTTCCAGGTAAGATTTCTTTGGCTGTGCCCTTCAGGGCTATACCACCTTCCGCTGGAGAAGTCTGCTTATTTCCTCAAACAAGAGAAGTAAGTGCATCCAGGCCTCTTTTGAGTTTATTGAAATCACACCATTTGGCTGATATTCTTCAGAATGAGTGGTAAAGAAATATGCTAAATCCTCAGTTTTAACAAAGATTAAAAACATTTCTTCTTTTTATACTTTGTTACTTAGTGGGCTCTTTGCCCTGGTAAATAGGTTTTTACTGCCAAAAATGACAGCCAGATCTTCAGTCTCACGGAGAAGGGAGGTAAAGTCATTAAAGTGTAATACCTTCCATGGATCAGAGAGTGTCTGGCTTGTTTGCTGTCTGTCCGTTTGTTTTTATAAGTTTTTGGTGAATATTCTTTACCATCATCTTTAAACACAACTTTATATTCACTTTCCTGCCTTCATTATTTTTCCCTTGATTTATTTTCCTGGCATACAACTGACCCTTGCCTGACATATTAGAGCCATGTTCTTATTTATTCATTATAATTTAACAGACAATATTTATTTAAATTCAAGCACTGTGATGAGTTCTAGTGTTTCATGTATGAATAGGAAATGGCTCCTACCCTCAGGGGATAATGATAAAGTGAAAGAAACATTAGATATAAATGAAAAATTCATAAAGAAGGATAATGCCTGCTTCAGTGCAACTATTTTTTGGTTTTAATGTGACAACTTTTTTAAGGGAAGAGAAGTTAAATGTCACAGATAGGTTAACTTCTGAGGTGGATCTAAATGGATAGATACTTTTTTATTTCCTTTAAGTTGAGAAAGAACCAAAGAGAATAATATCTTGAAAGGACAAGATACGTTCACAGAGGAGTCAGAAAATTCATCATTGAAAGATGGGGGGCAAGGAATTAAATAAACAAACAAATATGCTGGACCAGATCTGACATCAATTAAAACCATTACATTCTTCCCTGGTATCAATCACCCTATTCAATTCTGCTTGTGTATCGAACAAAAACTGTTAATAGCTTACTTCCATAGTCACTGAATTCTTTTACTATGATGAATGTTTGCAATTAAACTCTATTGACAAACTTTGCCAATAAGATTAGAGAAAATTACTCACATTTTTAATTGATTTTTTTTTTAATTTTGCAGGCTTGAAAATGTCTAAGATCATTGACTATGGGCAGTTGAATGCATTATGTCACAGGAGAGGACTGCAGTTCAGGTACGTTATTGTGCACTTCTTTTCCTGTCATTCAAATGTCTACGAATATGTTTGTTTCATGGGTAAAGTACAGGAATAAACCATTGTTGACTCTCAGAGGTGCTGGCTTCACCACACAGGTGAAAACATTTGAAAACCTGGAGGTTATTTCTCCAGACTGAAGGGGCAGAGGTATATGTCATATTTTAAGGAAACAATTTAGTGGGAAGCAAACTTGATGCATCCTTAGGATTGCCTAGGACTCGAAAAGCAGTCGCAAGGCGGAAAAGCTTTAAGTGGTTGAAAACACAAATCTTGAGTGAAATGGTACTTGAGTAGCCCACAGGAGGTGCCTCGTTGAAATATACTGGAGCCAAAGAACAGAGGAGCATCATGGTTCAAGGCTCAGGATTCCTAAGATATGTGACACTTGAAGGTATAATTTTTAAAAATCTGTTTTCTTGCCAAAGTCTTTTCCCAAGTTGGGTTTTTGAAATTCTAAAACTGGTTTCTTCTCCAGCCATCAGTGCCCATCTGTCCCCGGGACCTTGCCTCATCTTCAGACACATCCTCTTAACCACTTCAAATGATTTCTATATTTTCGTTGATTTTTTTCCTCCATTCCTTCTTCCTCAGAGGAAGGGAGGGAGATATGCTTAAAAAACATTCCTTAGATTTCTCCAAAGAATACTTTTTTCCTTTGCACTCCTGCCTCCTCACTCCCAGCACCCTCTGGCACGGGACAAAGCATGAGGTGCATGCACTCTGGAGTTGGGTCACCTGCTTTGAATCCTGACCCAGCCATTTCCAAGCTATGAGGTCTTGGACTGGTTATTTAATTTCTTTTTAGCTCACTTTTCTCATTTGTACATCCATTTCAAAGACTTATAAGGACAATTAAATGAACTAATATGCAGTGTCTGACACATAGGAAGAACTACATAAAAAGTTTATTATTATTCAGAAAAGCTCAGCCAAGTTTTTAGCTATTGAACTTATTCGCCGGTCCCTTTTCCAACACATAAGAAGCTAGTTAAGTCTTTTGGAGCAGAACACCTTTTTTCTAGCTGGGACTGTTTTTTTTAAAATGTGTTTCTAGATCCCCCACCCTCCCCCCTGCTTTGGGGACATCATAAGAGAGATGAAGTCACCTAGATCTGGGTATGGCAAAGAATCCATTCTGCATAGATTTTCTCAGCCTTCATCTTCTTGGTTTGAAAAATTCTTCCCAGGCAGTGTTTCCTCATCAGACAATCATTTGGTCCAGGCTCAGTCTGGCTGTCCTGCTTGAATTCCCTCTGTTAAGTCTCACATTTGCTTTGCCTTCTCTTAGACACTAACTCTCCTGAATTTCTTGGCTGCTTTCTTCTGAGGCAGTGGCACACATCAGGGGGCCGGAAGGGGCCACATTTCAGGGGAAATGTGCATAGGTTTTGGGTCATTATTTTAGACAAAAAATAATAAGATTGCAAATACAAAATTAGATGTAAAAATGAGTACTTATTTAGAATGAGAAAATAAAATTATGACAAATTAATGAGGGCTTGGTAATTCAGGCTCTTTTCCTGCCCTGAGATTTCTTTAGGCAATCGATCAGAAATGCACACACACACATTGTTTAAGTCTTTCACCATTACAAAGCTTTCAGTTGATTTCAACAAATCAGGAAGAGATTTAAGGAAAACATGCTCCTCCATATTTATTCTTTATGTATTCCATGTTAAAAATGGCCAATAAAGTATACTGTTCATCTATAATAAATATAGAAATGCTGAGAATTAAATGACTCAAGGGTTGACTTTTTTTGGTACATGAAGCCTACCAAGAGTCTTAGCTTTGAAGCTAACACACACACACACACAGACACACACACAG